TGTGTGTGTGTGTGTGTAACCATAGCTCACACTCTCCTCTCCTCTTCATGGCGTTTTATCACAGCAACACAAAAGTAACTAATAAACTATTATTGGCCAAATGCACTGGGAATGATTAGGACATTTTATATACAGTACCTACAAATTCCACAGTTCTCGCAATGATACTGCTTCTTATCTTTGTCAAAGAGATGGCATATGCTGCAGTAATATTCTCCAAACAATGTGCTACAATCTTCACAAGTCTGCTGGGCCTGAAAAGGACACAGTAATTAACACCTCGAGTAACTTACCAAAACCATTTAAATCTCTGGAGTTTATATTAAAGCATGTTTAGCTTATTTTTATGTTTTTAAACACCTAACTCAACAATGTCACTTAGAGAGTTAGAGTTAAGTCTCATTTCCAACCTTTGATTAAATGTTTTAATCCATCTTAAGACTTTAAGAAGAAATAAGGGAGATGTCATAACTCTTACATGCTGAACTTTTTCACAGTTGATGCACTGCACTTCCTTCACCTTGAAACGGTCGAGCTGATGGTCCTCACTGTTGTCGTGACACAGCCGGCAAGTATACAGCTTGTCACAACAAGGCGCCTAACACCCAGGGGACAAAGGGAATAGAAGACAAGTTAATTACAAAGACCTCCTTCTCTGGATCAAGGTCAAAGATTACAACCACTGGATCCACGGCTAGCATTCATTTCTTGACACATTTGATGCTAATAATCTTCCCCTTCAATATCTGTTTGAATGACTCTAAACAACTTTAAAACACACATATTATAAACGGCAGGACTCTCGAGACAGAAAAATCAACCCCACAATAACTGAAACTTATTCTCAGCCCAAACAGTAGACTTGAGTCTTGACTACTTCCCCACTTTTGAGATAATGTCTGCCATATACTTACACTCAAGCTTGAATAATCAATTATTTTCAAGTAAAATTTAAAAAGTTCCATGAACAAAGCAACTAATTCACTTCACAAGCCAAATGCCTAAGAACCTTTAGTCAAGAAAATCAAAGGGCTTGCAGAAAGTTTTCCATTTGTTGAATATTATTAAAAGATATGCCGGGCGGTGGTGGCGCACGCCTTTAATCCCAGCACTCGGGAGGCAGAGCCAGGCGGATCTCTGTGAGTTCGAGGCCAGCCTGGTCTCCAAAGCGAGTTCCAGGAAAGGCGCAAAGCTACACAGAGAAACCCTGTCTCGAAAAACCAAAAAAAAAAAAGATATGTATATGAGTATGAGCTAAGATTTGGTAAGTATTAATTTGAGTGCTTCATCAATGACATTTTTAAATGAAACTGGCTCTAACTATAGGTACACTATAGTGTACCTAATTACAATACAAAATCACTGCCTGAGTCACACACAGTTTTCAACCACTGCTTTCCACCATCAGTACACAACACACTGGACACAGAGTATCTACTATCCCACAAAGTAGCTTTTAAGAGATTCCTGGGGATCTAGTCATCCCGCTTTGGAACTATACTAGCTGTGTATCTCAGTTCCGAGTATGACATTCTCTAGCCACTAACTCTCCTCTTTTTAGCAACACCGAGTGTTCCCTTACACATAGCCTACCTGGAAGACAACTTAAAAAAATCCCACTTCTACCCACTGACATGCATCAGAAGCAGCTAACTACAGCTGAAGAAAAACACCACCACACTCTCTGGTCTCCTTTTTTGTTTGTTTTTAATTTCAGGGCTTTATTGTGCAACAGAGGACACGCTTTTGCATGCCTTACCCCAAGCTTTTAAATTTTATTACTCTGAGATTCCTGGCAATCCCCTTCATGATCTCCAGGTGAACTTTTGAAGACTATAATCAGGAAAACTCTAAGTTTTCTTCCCTTAAACAGAGATACCATTATTAAAAGAATTCACTTTTACACTAGTAGTGAAAATTGTACTAGAATTTATCACTAAACTAGCTTTATTTTTTTTTTTAAATGTCTTCATATCTCCACTGTCAGGTGACTTCCTGCTCTTAATTTCTTAGTGTAATGATCAATAAACATAAACTTCTTTGAATTTTCTGCACCTTTCTTGGCACCTCAAATTACTCTTGCTTCATTAACCACTCAGAAAAAGATATTTTATTACCACCATTTCAAAGTTAATGTTCTCATTCTTCTAATGCTGCAGCCCTTTAATACAGTTCCTTGTGTTGTGGTGACCTCAACCATAACATTATGTCATTGCCACTTCCTAACCATAATTTTGCTACTGTTATGAATCATAATGTAAATACCTGATAAACAGGATATATGATATACAACCCTTGTGAAAGGGTCATTCCACTCCCCCAAAGGGGTCATGACCCACATGTTGAGAATCAGTGATCTAGATGATCGTTTTGGGTTGAGCGAGCCGTGGAGTGCAAGCCAGTAGTAAGCAGCATTCCTCCAATGCCTTGGTTTCAGTTCCTACTTCCAGGTTCCTGCCCTGCATGAGATCCTGCCTTGGCTTCCCCTACCAATGAACTGTCACAAGAAGTGTAAGCAATAAGCCCTTTGCTCAAGTGGTTTTTGGTTATGGTGTTTACCACAGGAATACAGAAGCAAACTACTGCACTCTGCTTTGTCTTCTTTTACGAAGACTCTACAGTTAGCCCAGGCTTGCCGCTAAAATGGACTTCACTTTGACTACTCACCAACAGTAAGTAGTCCTAGAATGCTCCCTTTTCCTGCTGCATTACAAAATGACAGAAGCATACTGTAACACATCTTTCAGCAAAACAGCCACATTTTTGCTCTACTTTGCAATAAAAATCCCAAATTCTCTATGTTATTTCCAGTATCCACTCCAATAAAGCTTTATCCTGGATCCTTCCATTGACACTTCTCTTGTCAAGACCAACAGTGACCTTCCCCTTGCCAAATCAAAGGCCAATTGTCACCCCTTTTCTTGATTGAACAGCTGCGCTTGATCCAGCAGATGACTTGCTCCTTGAAACACCTCAGTTGGCCTCTCCTATGTAGGAAGAGGGAGGAGGAAAGAACAATGCTTGACACTCAGGGAAACGCAGCTTAAGTGCTATGAAACACACCTTTAGCTGTGCAAGTTTCTTTGCAGGGGCCAGGGAAGGGCAAGATGTTAAATTCAGTTCTATAGCTCACTTTGAAACTGTGAAACTATCTCAGTAGAAATGGAATCAAAAGAATAGTATTCAACTGCTTACCCAACATTTGAAAACTGACCAGTCTGAAAGAATTTCATCCAACACAATGAAACAATGTTTACCAAACCCTGGCCTACAGAAAAGAGTTTAAGTTGTCTTACAGACCGAAGCTTATCATTTAATCCTAGCTTTCAAGGTCAGTGACCAGCAGGGCTGACTGGTAAAGTAAAAAGACAAAAAGAGACGATGATGATGACTAACAGTGGTAGTTAATATTTACTACTCATTTCTGGGGATGCACCTCCTAAACACTACATGCGCACTCCAGTATGCAATCATCGTATCGTTAATAAAAGAGGGACTTTCCCCATTGGTGGTGGAGCTTGAACCTATAGACTCTCTGGTGAAGTCAGTACTCTAGCAATCACACACACACACACACACACACACACACATATATATCCCACCAACAATATATATACATAATTTATATGATATATATCCCACCAATTATATATTATATATAATATATATATTTATATATATCCCACCCCTATTCTTTTTCTTCTTGGCAATGGCACCTCCAGGCTGGCATTCCTTCTGCCTCAGCTTCACAAATAGCTGGAAGTACATGTCTGATAGAACTACAGGCCTTTACCACTAAGACCAGCCATGAAAAACAGAACTTCTAAGATTGCCATTTTTATATGCAAGCCATTTAAAAAACAGCTTGCTCAAAATTACAGAACAAATCAGGGACAGAACTAAGGTATGGGGGGAAAGCTACAGGACTCCAACAGTCAAGTTTCTTTCCAGTGGGAGGAGACTTCTGAAGGTTGGAACCAGGGCCGCCAGCATTTTAAGCACAAGCTGTACTGCTGAGTTACACCCCCAGCTCACATATCAGGCTTTCTCAACAAAATATTCATGCCTCTTAAAGAAAAAAAAAAAACAAAACAGGAAACTCTTAACTGTGCGAGGGCCATTTTTAAAAACTCTAGACGACTAGAACATTTCTCAAGCAACAACAACAACAAAAGTAATAATAATAGCATATGTGTACTAGGCACTTCTCCGAAATCCGATTTAATGGCCATTACACAAGTGTCTCTCATATCACACTTTTATACTTTCTCCTTGACAGGTCTGGGCATACTCCTAGACAACAAAATGAAGCTGACAGCCTACATACCGTGTACTTATTACACGAACAGAAATGATATTCTGATCTCCCTCCCCCCTTGCTTATCTTCCTCTCGTCACCATCCCGCCGCACACGTGACAGTGGTCCTGGAGAAACGCTCAGGGCAGGCCTGACACTGCCTCATTCTCCTGTCAAGCGCAAACGACGGATAAACCCACTGGGTGACTTTGGGGCAAGCTCTTTCCAAACAGCAAGAACTCTGCAAAGCACAAAAGCTGAGGGCGGGTATAGAGAGCCCCTGCTCGCCTTGCCCAAAAAACGCTCCCTGCAAGGGGAGCCCGATTCCAGACGCTGAAGGTGTCCGAAGCAGCAGCTCGGTCTGAAACCTATGCCCACGGCTACCCGCCTGGCCCCGCCGGCCCCAGCCCACCCCGGGGGCACCTCATCAGGAAGTGCCCTCTCTAAAGTCGTCACCTTGAGGAGACAGCCGCGGTCATAGTGCTCGCAGCCCCGCCGCCCTCGCTCCGGGCTGCTGCGGCGGACGCCATCTTCCCGCGCCGTCGCCGCCATCTCCTCCACCTCCCCTCACAAGCCACAGAACCTTCCCCCAGCTTGGGAGCCACGCCTCCGCGAAGCAGAGCCGGTCCACCACCCCTCCTGCTCCTCCTGCTCCTCCTCCTCCTCGCAGCGGCGGCGGCCACCACGGTCACTATGGCGGCTGCTCACGTGACCCGGGGCAGCCAGATTTCCGGTTCCTGGCCGAAGGGGGCGGAAGCGGAGTGAGACGCCAGAGTCCGTCGTCGTCGACGTTAGTCGCTGTCTTCGCTGCTAACGGTAATAACTCTGCGGTTGGCTGTTCCTCTCCCCGTCTCCCCGCCCCCGCATCGCTGCCCGCGCAGACCCCGGGGCGAAGGGGACCGCGGCGACGCCGGCGGGGCCCCGGTGCAGGCCGCCCTCGGCCGCCCGGCGCCTGGGAGGAGAGGCCCCGCCCTCGGCCCGGCTCGCGGCCGCCTCCCAAAGGGGGCGGGGCCCGGCGCGGGGGCGGCACGGGCTGGCCGCTGCTCGGGCTGGCCGCTGCCCGCGTTCCATCCGCGTTTCCCTGTGCTTAAGACCCCGGGACGGAAAGTGGAAAGACAGTAGGCACGCCACGACGTGCCTCAGTGGAACTCACAGATGGGTACGGGGGAGAAAAATCACCACACTGAAGGAGATCACAATTTGGAGGGACCCTTGAAAAGGGGCATTGTGTGCAGTGTGACCCTGGGGAAGGGGACGCTCGAGCTGAAAGTTGAATTGCAGACAGTGTGCCTGCAAGGAGGTAGGTAGGGTGCACAGACCTGTCTGTGGCCGGGGAACTCTGGTCCGTAAGAACACAAGAGAAATAATAACCAAGCCTACGAAGTTGAAATCTCAGACCTCGTAAGGTGCATAACTAAATGTCCACTTGTAAAATACCGAAACTTTAGAATAATTTTACCAGCAAAACTTCAGATGTGGGGGGTGGGAGGGATGGGGGTTGCCTTTGGCTTTAGACCTAAAGTTACTAACTCATTTTCATTCTCTTGCAGTTTTGTCATGAGTTGCTAAAATCATGGTGAAATGTTGCTCGGCCATTGGATGTGCTTCTCGCTGTTTGCCAAATTCCAAGTTAAAAGGACTGACATTTCATGTGTAAGACTTGGCTGGGCTCAAGCCAAATACTTTTACTGAAAATGAACGATTCTACCTAAGTCTGCAGTTTCAAGCCTTAGTTCCCAAGCCCTTTTACAGTAGCCGTGTTAAATTTGAACTGGCAGTGATTCCTGTACGCCTTTATAATGTACAAGTTTTAAGTGCTGAGGAATCAAAGATGAGATTAACGCCCACACCAAAAATAAAGTACACCCACACACAAATTGTCAAACTCACCTTTGCTGATATTATTTGCATTTTAACTACGAAGTTCACTTTTGTTTACATGTAGTTTACAGTCTAAATGAGGGATCTTTGTTAAAATGCACATCTCTTCTATTTAGAAATAGATGGTGTAAGTTGTTCAACTATGAATTAAAAGTTCAGACCAAAGATTATTAAGCTGCATTGCAGATAAAGTGTGAGGACTCTAATTTCATGTTTTGGCCATTCCTCTCACACCCATGAGAAGGGACTAATAGGATTTAATAAGCGTGCTAAGGATTTTGCAGCTTTTATGTGAAGCACTTGTCTTTACTAAGGGAAGATCTAGTTACTTTGCTATGCATGGAAATTAAAAGATAGTATGTATACCCTACCTTATCCAAATATATATACATATATATATATATATGTATATACATACATATATATATATATATTTGAACTAGCTTGGAAATTTTGAGAACTATGATTATTGACCCGCATATCTCTCTAAATAGTTCTATCTTCAGAATTCTAGACTCTGTAGCTATTCCCTGCAGGCTTTCATAAAGCATTTATAGACCTGTTGTATATTAACTGCTATACCAGGTAGTTTTGGGGTAGAACAGAATTGAAAATACAAGAGGCCCCATTCATTCAGGGTAAATTCTGGATGTCACTTCAGAAAGGAAAAGGCCAGTGGTCTTTAACATTTGTAGACAAGGGAAAAACCTTTCATTGCAGATGCAGGTACTAAATATCCATTGAGACATCTATATGATATGATAAAATTTTAAGTTGATAATTTGAAATAGAGGTCATATGTCTGAAGATTGGGTGGCAGAAAAATCTGGATATTAAAACTGAGTTATGAGGCCAGCAGGATGTCTTAGAGGGCAAAGATAGTTGTCACCAAGCCTAACGACCTAAGTTCAATGCCAGGACCCACATGATGGTAAGAGAGAACAAACTCCCATAAATCCCCCTCTCATCTACACTGTGCACACTGTAGGATGCTTGTGCGCATGCACACACACACACACACACACACACACACACACACACACGCAAAAAAAATGTAATTTTTTAAATTAATTTCTTACATAAGCAGAAATTATGATTTCTTAAATATTTCAGTTCAAATACATACCAATAGTATTTAGTTTTAAAGTATTTTTTTTATTTTGTTCTAGATTCCCCACAGATGAAAACATCAAACGAAAATGGGTATTAGCAATGAAAAGACTCGATGTGAATGCTGCAGGCATTTGGGAGCCTAAAAAAGGAGATGTGCTGTGTTCAAGGCACTTTAAGAAGACAGATTTTGACAGAAGTGCTCCAAACACCAAACTGAAACCAGGAGTCGTCCCTTCTGTCTTTGAGTCCCCACGTCACTCACAGGTTTGTTGATGAGCTTGTGCTCGCTGTGAGCACTCACTTCCTGTGACAGCTCTGAAGACTCTTCAGCACTCATGGGTTCGTCTCTGTTACTTTCTTCATCTGAAGTGCGTTCTGTGAGTTTCCATAGACTGTAGCTTCAGCTTTTGTGATGCCCAGCAGATGATGTGGCCAGCAGCCACTCTTAAACATTGCTACATGACTAGGGTTTAGATAAGATGGAAAGAATTGTCTTACCTTAGAACAAGCGTCTTAAAAGTGGAGAAGGTTGAACTGAGGTTTCAGATTGATAGTCCTTAAGAACTCAAGAGTGTGGTAGGGGCACGTGCTTTAATCCCAGCACTCGGGGCAGGGGCAGGGAGATATCTGAGTTCGAGGCCAGCCTGAGCTACAGAGGAAGTTCCAGGACAGCCAGGACTACACAGAGAAACTCTCGAAAAACCAAAACCAAAAAACAGAAACTCAAGAGCAAACTGCAAGCCATACCAAAGGATGGTTCCAGGTGAAACTACAGATATAAAATTTACATCTTAGATACGAGCAAAAGTGGGGGGAAAAAACAAAAAGGGATAAGAAGAGAAAAGGAAAAAGAGAGATGAGGTTACGAAAAGAAAACAGAAGAGCTGAGTAGTAAACCTAGTTGAATTCTGTTCTTTCTCAATGATAGTGCTGTGAGTTGGCCACTTGGCCCATGATGTCTGTTAATAAAGCTGAGAACGCATTTTCTTCAAGAACTGTGGACCATTATTATTTCTTCTAGCTTACTTATTCAGGTCTTCTGTCATCTTTTTCTCAGCTGGTAGGGAGCATCCTTGCTATGGAATATTCCTTTACACTGTGTGAATATGTGTCCCTCTGATTGGTTTAATAAAAAAGCTGACTAGCCAATAGCTGAACAGAGTAAGGTTAGGGAGGAGAGCCAGACTAGGAGAATGCTGGGAGGAAGAAGGGCGGAGTCTGGAGTCGACGGCAAGATGCAGAAGGAGCAGGAGATGAAAGTGCCTTCCTAATAAAGGTACTGCCATTTGGCAGAGTGTAAATAAGGAATATGTATGGGTTAACTTAAAATGTAAGAGCTAGTTAGTAACAAGCCTGAGCTATTGGCTGAGCATTTGTAATTAATATTAAGCCTCTGCGTGATTATTTGAGAGCAGCTACAGGAATTTCTGCCTACATATCCTCTTTCATTTTCCTCTCTTTTCATTTTTAGGGAAATTTTATGTATATAATTGAACCCTACAGTTGCTTGGGGGTGCTCTTTTAAACTATACCGAATGAAATTTACCAACCCTAGAGCAGTTTCCATGAAAAGAAATAGGGTATTTCACTACACATTATGAAGGAATCAATTGTAAGAATGGATACAATATCTCAATGGTTTTAATTACCTGTTCCTAACAGGAGAAAAGAGAAAAACTTCATTGTAGGAAAAACTTTATTCTCAAAACCCTTCCAGTCACCAACCATGGTCACCAGCTTGTTGATGCCTCATGCATTGAAGAATTCCAATCTCAGTTCATTTTTGTAAGTAAAATTATTTGCTGAGTTAATTGTTTTAAGATGAATATGGTCTCTCCACTAGGATCAAGTATGTCAGAATCATAGCAAAAACAGAATGTAGACTTTTCGGGGAGGAGGGTCTTTAATATATGATGTTTCCAAACAAGCTTGCTTCCCAGGATCATTGTAATTGGAGTGTATATAAGAGCAATATAGAAGTAGTTACTCTTTTAGTTGCATACTTAGTTTGAAGAATGCTTTTTTTTTTACAAGGGTGAGTCTACCAATAAAACATTCTTCCCTTTAAGTGCTGTATTTCCTACATGGAAATATGTGATTAGAAAATAGCTGTATCTTTAGGTCTCCTTGAAAAACAGTCACACACAATACAGAGTATTCAAGCTTGTATTTTCTTATTCGCAGACTGCTTGTTCATATAAATGCCAGACATTGAACAGAAACTGTTTACTGCAGCTTTGTAATAATTTTTAAAGTCAGGTACTATTAGTCTACTCACTTTGTTGTTTAGCATTGTTTTGGCTATTATAGATTCTTGGCTTTTTTATATGGATTTAAAATCACTTTGTAAAATTCTGCATGTAAAAACCCATGCTGGGATTCCCACCAGTCTGCTCTTGCCTCTGGAGATACCGCAGGGAGAACTGAGAACTTAGGATAGTAGGAAGTCTTTCGGCACTTGAGTGCTCCCATTGATTTGGCCTGTAACTTCTCAGCACTGTCGTAAAGCATTCAGCACACAGATGTTTTGCTTTGTCAGATTTGACCCTTAGTATTTTCTGTTTGCTTGTTGATCTAAATGCTACATTTTGTTTGCTCCTAGATGATAGAAATAAGGGAAATATGATTTATGTTGATCTTATATCTGACAAAGTTGCTGAATTCAAATATTAATTATAGCAGGATTTGTTTTTTTAAGGCCGTCAGATTTTCCACACAGATCATCATATTCTCTGGGTTAAGGACAGTTTTAATTCCTCCTTTCTCCTATAAATGTCTTCCATTGCCTTTCCCTTCTTTACTGAACTGCTTGACTCCAGGGCTGTGATGAGTGTTGAGAGCCAGTATCCAGGCAATCCCATATCCTAACGTGAGTTTTCTTTTTTAGGCTAATATGGTAAGTTATGTCAGCTGACTTCTCAAGTACCTAACTAACCTTTTACTCCATAATGCATCATTGTTTTCATGTATTTTGTTTACAGCTTGGGAATTTTTTTGCTTAGTCTTTCTTTGAATGTTCAAGAGGGACATTTAGTCTATAGGGTTCCCCTCCTCCCCTTCTGTAATGTTTCATTTGTCCAAATTCAAGATCAGAATAATATTGACCTTCCAGAAAAGTGAGAAAATCTTGCCAACTTTTCCAGTTTTCTGGAAAAAGTTTTGTAGAATGATAAATTTTTGTATAAATATTAGATAGGCCTGTCTAGTGAAGTACTGTAGGCGTTAGGGTTTGTTGTTGTTGTTGTTTGATTGTTGAAGGAAACAATAGTAGCTTCTGTCTTCTGTCTCCCAAGGACTTTGTCACAGCTACACCATATATTAGGATAAGGTATTTAGTAATGCCTCCTTCCTGACCCTTGTACAGACTCTGATGCTCCGTTCTCCCCTGACATTTGTTTCTGTTTTCACATTGCCAGTTAGTCTGCCTGAAGGGTTAACTATTTTCTTCATCTTGTCATAGAACTCAACTTTGTTCATTTTTTATACTTCCCTAATTTCTGCTCATCTGCGATTATATTTTTTCTACTTATTTCAGTAAACTGTTCTTGCTTTTTCCTAGTAAGGTGAAAGCTGCCCTTACTGTTAAGATCTAGTCTAGGCATTCAGTGGTATTAATTTCTCCCTAAGTATTACATCCCACAATAAGTTGTCTTTTCACTGTCTTTCATATTTTTAGTTTCTGTTTCAGTTTGTTCTTCAACCCATGGGTTATTTAGAAGTGTATTATTTGGGGTAGGGGAGATAGCCCAGTGTTTATAAGTGTGGTTCATGTCTTTTACTTCATCTTGGCTAGACACACAAGTCTTCTTCAGTAATTTTAATATTAAATAACTTTACAAAATTAGTTTATAGTAACTTTCTATGTCAGTGTTAGTTTCCTTGTTTTCAAATGAACATGAAAAAGTATATTGCCTGCATACTTAAGCATAGCCAAAATAAATATTGATGGGAATTAAATTATCTTTTTTAAATTTCAAGACTGGAGTCCTCTCCAAATCCCCAGCACTCAGCCTAAGTACCCACTCTAGTGTTCCTTTCCTGAACCTCTTATAAAGTAAAATATTCATCAAAATGAAGGAAAAATTTACTGTATCACACACCATCACTAAATCTTGGAGCTGGGGATGTAGCTCAGTTCATAGAGTCCTTTCCTAACATTCTCAAAGCCCAAGATTTGAACCCCAGCACTGCAAAATCTGGGCACTGGGGGATGTGTGCATTAGGCAGAGGTTGGAGAAAGTAATCCTCAGCTATATGGCAAGTTCAAGGCCAGCCTCGAATACGTAAAACCTTGTGTAAAAGAATAAATAAAAATAACTCATTCGTGTGATAACTATAAACTGTTTATCAGCACCATACAAAGGAATGAAAGCTGTATAGGTTTTGCAAGTGCCATGGCAGCCATTGCAATTTCATCTGCCTTGCTTATCATAGCAGGCAGGAACCCCCAGATGAGAGTGTTTCTCATCGGCAATGCTCCATGTTCCTGATATATGCTCAGCCTCTAAAAGAAGAGAGGCTTAGGCACCTAATACTGCTTCTGCTTCCTATGTTCTTAAACTTCTGATGGTCTCCTCTAAGTTTCATAAGTGAAGAAATAGCTGAAGCTTAGTGGTAAGCTTTTGTCTAACCCCTTGTCTTTCTTATTTCAAAACCTGCTGTTTATATTTTAGGAACATAGCTATAGTGTTATGGACAGTCCAAAGAAACTTAAGCATAAATTAGATCATGTGATCATCGAGCTAGAGAATACCAAGGAGAGTCTACGGAATGTTTTGGACCGAGAAAAACACTTTCAGATATCACTGAGGAAGACCATCAGGGAACTGAAGGACGAATGTCTGATCAGCCAAGAAACAGCCAGGAGACTGGATGCTTTCTGTTGGGGGTGCTGTCATGAAAACACAGACTGAGACTGGGATTTTGTGAAGATATGTGTTCCGTCTGCAGTTGACGTTGATAATGCTCCTTAGTAGATCCTCACACACCATCACTAAATCCTGTCATCACTGACAGCATCATGCATTATCCCTACTACCAAAAACGCACTGAAGATGTGCAGACATGTGTTGTGGTTATGCTTTTGTGTGACTGGTGACAATTATGTTTTTACAGTGCTGGGTCACTATTGTAAGATGGTTAGATCTCAAAAAAGTAAGGAACTATATCAAGTTGGCCACATTAGTTATAGCAATTGGAACATCAGAATTTTGTTTACAACACACATTCATCTTTCCTCCAACCCAAGGTGCTTTAGTTATTGATCATACTAAAGAATACTTTTTTAATGCACTCTGTAGCACTGACCCTGAGAATAGCCCACGGAAAAGATTTATTGGCTTTTAAGTTAAGAGCTGATTGGAGACGACTCCTGACAGGATGTCAGTGTTTCGGTATAGTACTTCATTCCTCCTCACAGGGACTAGTCAGAATAGCTTCAAACACCAAAGACTGCCGGCGCAGAAGTTTGACTCCAGGTGAACGGTTGGTACTCCACGAGAATGTGACTTTGCAGCTGTTTTCACTCAGCTCTCCATGCACAGGGCTGCTGCCAGCTGAAGCTTTGCAGTGCTGTTCTGTGGTTTTTAAGAAGGTTATATTGCCGACGCTTTCAAAACTGTAAAACATAAGGAAAGCTGTTTCAAATGGGCAGCTCTTGAAGTGGAAATAGAAACAGAGACTCAATGACTGTCCAGTGGCAGTGATGACTCAGAAATGAACATACAAACGAGCTGTTTAGGAACTGCTTACCAAATGTACAAAAGAAGAGTCTGAGCTATTTACTGATGGAGCCCAATGTGAGAAATTTTGCTTCTCCCCTGATTTCTTACTAAAAAGACTGAAATTAAGAATCATAAATACTGTACGTTACAATAAAAGGTACTAGCCAAAGTCCCACCCAAGTGGGACAAGCACAGGTCTGCAAATGAACCTTCTTCAGAGCTCTGTGCATGTCGTTAGACTGTGTTCAGCAATTGTTTCATTGTCTTAACATCACGTCCAGTTTTTGTTTATCTGTTCACTGTAACTTTATTTGTTTCATATTAGTATCATAAAGATATGGTCTGTTGAAGATTTTTGTATTTAAGATATTGTATTTTCATGTAGGACTGTAAATCTTCGTGCTAAAATGGATTTTTCCCCACATGTGAAAGGTAATTATTGTGCTAAGAGATTGAAATTACTGAAGTCCTTTGATTACCCTCAAATGTTTTTTTTAATTGTCTGCCTGTTATTTATTTGCCTTGTTTAATTTCTAAGTCCCAGTGGGTACTCTAACGAGAAGTGTGGGTGGAGTCTAAGCCCTCAGCCTGGTTGTGAGCATGTATGTAAGCTGGTGACTGGGCAGTGGAGAAGGAAAAGCATGGCAGTGGCTCCAGACTTGCCCTGCCCTGGCTGCCTGCAGTAAAGCAAGCCTGGAAGACTCTCCAAAGGAAGCTTCCGGACTCCGCCCTGTTCCAGCTGCATAGTCACCTTGGCTGCTTGGGTCATGGTGAACTCAGTCTTTGTCTTCTTCCACTGGGTCTAGTATCCCTGAGACGTTGGTAACTGGGTGAAATATCAGTAAGGATCAAGAGCTCTTTACTCTTGGAGAAATGGTTACCAGTAGACTTAAAATATAGGATCCCTACCACCTGCCACTTAAAACAAATGCCTAGACACATTTCCTACCTCAGTCCTCCACCCAGAGATTGCAGCCTAGTCTTCCAGGGAAGAACTGCTGTGTATAAAGACAGCTAAATCATGAGCTATCCGGAAGGGCTCAGGCAGCCGAAGCTGACAGAAGAGCTCTAGTTTCTAAACATAGACTGGCTTCTAGACCCTGGAAGACACTTGATTTCCAAAGAAGGTATGAAGCACTTGATGTGGCCTTTTCTCCATGTCAAGTTTAAATTTCTGAAAATGGACTTTGTTGCTGAAGGTACCTGTAATTATACAAGTCTTTAATTTGAGAAAAGGTGAAATGTATTCAATATATACTTAGTTTTAGTTTTTAAAAGTAAAATTCTGACAAATAATTGAGGAATGAAAGCTATTTATTTGAAAAATAAAAATTTTGTCTAGTAATGTGTTGTGTTTTTTTATACTTCGATTAAATAAAACGGTCAGGGAAAGATAAAAAGCACATACATACACAGGGGTCTTGCTTTCTTCTGCGTCTTCATCAGCCCAGCTTTTAGCATAGTATGAACTGACCTGCTTTCGGCTAGCTTTTAAAACTGGCAGCTCTTCATGTTCCCGCGTGTGTGGGGAAGAGCAGTATTGCTGGGTTCGAACAGAAGACTGGCAGGCCTGTGCTCCCTAACTCAGAGTAAAGCATGCAAGGTAGAATGGTTTGTCTTTTACTTCAGGGGCATGTCCTGGCAGGCCCCAAATCACTGTGTCTCCTGAGTGTTCCAGATTTTTGCCCCACCCTTTACAGCACATATATTTCATGGAAGCCTTGAAGAGAATTTACTAGGCACTTAGTTATAAAAGATTTCTTTTTAATTGTGTGTTTATGAGAAAGGGTGTGCACATGAGCGCAGGTGTCTGTAGAATCCAGAAGAGGCTGTTGGCTGGAAATAGAGGCAGCTGTGAGCTGCCTACTGTATGTGCTGGGAACCAAATCTAGGTCCTCTACAAGAGCAGTATGTGCTCTTATCCACTGAGCCACACCCCTGCCCTTCTTTTAAAGACCTTTTAGAGGCATGTCTCACTATAACCCATTCTGGCCTAGAACATGTGACCCTCCTGCCTCAGCATTCTGAGTGCTAGGACCATAGGCATGCACTAGCTTGTTAAGTTTATATTTGTTTATCTCATTGGATTAACCTCATCCATATTTTCAATTATATAATTTTGTTTAGGATGTCTGGGTAGTATAGATCTCCTCATTATAACAGAAGCAACAGTATCAATAGCTTCGGGGCAAGACTGTATATTACTGTTTATTGCATATGAATATTTCTGATCCTTAATGGGGGTGGGAGAGCATGCACCAGGCAAATAGTTGCGGAGCACATAGCTGTGTTACTACCTCTAGCAAAGATAAAGTAGTCAATCCTCCAGCTCTTCCCAGGGCTGCTGCTTCATTCTGTTTGCCTTAATTTGCTGTTATCCTGCAGAACAGATCAAATTTTTCCAGGAGCTGAGTGGTGGATGAAATGGAAATAGGAAGAGAGTCAAAGGGACTTGCACTGAACACCTCCCTTTTTTCTGGGAATCTGAAATGGGGGACTGTGTTAGACAAAGTGTGCCTATGTGACTAGTCCGTGATAAAACCTCAGGTACTTGAATCCACTTCCCTGCTATGTACTATTTCCTACATTATTGTCACAGTTTGATTCCACAGGAATTGTGGGTCAGGCCTGACTACACTGGGGGAGGACTCTTGCCAGCTTCTCATTCCCTAAGTTCATGTCATATATGTTTTCTCCTTGTTGATTTGGGGTTTTGTTTCTTTTCCTGGAATACCCACAAGGACAACTATATACTGAGTTCTGTGAGTCTTTCTATGGTTACTCTTGGAGACTCCAACCCAGATGTTCCTTCAGCACTGTCTGTCATAGAGGATAAAGAAACGAGCTGAAGTGGTATAACAGACGGGCCATAAAACTATCCACGGTCCTAAAATAATGTGCTGTCTGAACCTGGCATTACTATTCAGCTGGTCTCTAATTTTTTATGTTTTTCTTCCTGTAATGTCTTCAAAATATTCTTTTCCCTATACTTCAGAATATGTGTAATCTTTCACATCTTGAAATTCAACAAAGTAACTAGAAGTCTGTCCCAATACCATGTCTTTGGATTGTATAGCTCCTTTTACACTCCCTCTCGCGGACAATTTAATTGGTTTAAGCCATTATTTCTTTTTGCATTTATTTATTGGGGAAGGGATTATGTATGTGTATGGAAATACACTTGCCACAGCATGCATGTAGAGACTTGAGAGTTAGGTTTTGTTTTTGTTTTTGTTTTCCTTCCACATAGGTTCTAGAGACCAAACTCAGGCTGCCATGCATGGTTGCAAGCATTCATACTCTCTGAGCCAAAGCCCTTATTTCTTAACTTGATTACTACAAAAAGATTCTTTAGTTTTCCTGTGTTCTAGTGATAACCAGAGGAGTCCTATCTCAACTTCATACATCAATTACAATAAATATGAGTGGCCTAAAGCTGAGTGTAGTGGTGTGTGATATTTGATCACAGTATGTGAGATACCTCTGTTTTACCTCACAGCCTAAAGCACCTTCTGATTGGTTTAATAAAGAGCTGAATGGCCAATAGCTAGGCAGGAGAGGATAGGTGGGACTTTCAGAGAGAGACAGGAACTAAGGGGAGGAATCAGAGAAATGGAGATTTGCCAACAAGACATGGAGCAAGTGGGATGAAAGGTACTGAGGAGAGGTAACAAGCCACATGACAGAACATAGATGAGTATAAACGGGTTAATTTAACTTTTAAGAGCTAGTTGGGAACAAGGCCAAGCTTTCATAATTAATAAAAAGTCTCCATTTCATTATTCAGGAGCTGGCGGTACAATTTCTGTCCTACTACATTTGGCGTCCAACATGCAAGCCTGTATATCCAAGCATAGTGCCTGTGAGCAGCTGGCACACTAGACAGAAAAGCCCGCCACAATGTAGGACCAGCAACTTCCCAGAGCTGGGGTGGACTGATGCCCGTGGACATGAGGTTTGGCTGTCATGGACCCAAGCGAGGCAGAGCCAGCCACCAGCACCATGTGCTAAGCAGTCACAAAAGGAGCCTGCAAACACATAGAAAGGCTTTGCAACATTTTTGCAACAATTTTCTGGAGCCACCAAGTGCAGAAAGCCAAGTCTAAACCAAGAAAACCTCTAAATAGGTACAGTATGCCTTAAAATGCGCTTAAGTGCTAAAGAAATGTGGGAGGCCAGCTCCCACCTTTTAAAGGAGAGAAGAAAAAGGAATTTGTAGGTAGAAAGATAGCAGAGATGAGACAGACAGAAACACAGGACAGCTTCGGGAGGACCTGGGTCAAAGTCTGCTGGTCCCTTCTGTCTCTTCAAAAGGGCTTTTTGTAGCAATGCCAAGGGGCGGGGCAAAAGCCCTCCCCCGTTAGATCAAAGCACACCACACAGCCAAGGGCAGACCCTTCCACACACCTGGTAACCATGCACGTGGTCACGTTCACCCCTTTTTGCAGGCCTGCTGGGTAAAGCAAGCTCAGATCTTACTAGGAAACCTTTGTGGGCTCCCACAAAGAAAGAAAAGAAAATGGGTAGAGATGGTCATAGAAAAAAAAAAGAAATAGGTTGAAAATAATGAAACAAAGTTATTAAAGAGAGAGTAAAGTAATATAAAAAGAATAAGCCATCTAAGGATGGGAAACAAGACGTTTGGACACTATATGGTGCTCTATTAATTTTCAATTTTTTTAATGCTAATGAATGAAAAACAACAGCTACTGAGAGATACTGGATTGTGGGGGAAAAAACTACTAAATTAAACCAGCCTACATATTTTAAGGTTGTCTTAACTTCAGAATGGAAGTCAGGAAATGTGTTGTGTTGAAGGAGAGATTATGCCTTTGTTTCCACAGAAAGGAAAATTATGGATTCCTTCAAAATTAATAGAGTTTCTGATGGGGTTGAACTCTAGATGGTTATAGTTTTACCATTTTCTTTGTTACATAATTCAAAAAAGATACAAAGGAGATGTAAAGTTGAGAGACATAAAAGCTTAAGTTGTTTAAGAAAATGTTTTAAGGTCTAAAAAGATATATTTAAGTTGGTAATACAAGTTCTGATAGAAAGTAGTTTAAGTATAAAACTTTGGACTCAACAAGATAGGATAGCTAGGGGTTGGGGATTAGCTCAGTGGTAGAGCGCTTGCCTAGCAAGCGCAAGGCCCTGGGTTCGGTCCTCAGCTCCAGAAAAAAAAGAAAAAAGAAAAGATAGGATAGATAATAGAGTACTTTCTCCAAATTTGCCAAATACAAATGGACTGGAAATTGTGAATGTAATATTTACCCGATAATTGTTCTTATTGTATATAGTTTTACTGTGTTAGAGTTAAAACCTTCCCCTTTTGTTTAGACAAAAAGGGGGAAATGTTGTGAGATATTTGATCACACTGTGAAGATGTCTCTGTTTTACCTCACCTGCCTAAGGCACCTTCTGGTTGGTTTAATAAAGAGTTAGGCAAGAGAAGATAGACAGGACTTGTAGTAAAAGAGAAGAATTCAGGTGAAGGAATCAGAAAGGCAGAAATTCGCCAGTGAGACACGGAGCAAGTCAGATATACAGTACTGAGGAGAGGTAATGAGCCAAGTAGATGTATTAATGTAGATTAATTAAACAGATTAATTTAAAATTTAAGAGCTAGTTGGGAACAAGCCTAAGCTAAGACCAAGTTTTTATAATCAATAAAAAGTCTCCATGTCATTATTCAGAAACTGGTGGTATAATGAAAGTTCAACTACACAGTGGCATACAAGTTATGTTGACAAGTTTTGTGTCAACTTGGCACAGGTTAGAGTCATCTGAGAGGAGGGAACCCCAACTGAGAAAATGACTTCATAATATTGAGCAGTAGGCAGGCAAGCTTGTAGGGCATTTTCTTAATTAGTGATTGATGTGGAGAGGCCCAGCCCATTGTGGGAGGGAATACCCCTGAGCTGGTGGTCCTAAGTTCTGTAAGAAAGCAAATTGAACAAGCCATGGGGAACAAGCCTAAGCAGTACTCCTCCATGGCGTCTGCATCAGTTCCAGCTTCCAAGTTCACACCTGGTTTGAGTTCCCCCAGTGGACTATGAATTCAGGATATATAAGCCAAATAAACCCTTTGCTCCTCAAATTGCTTTTGGTCATGATGTTTTGTTACAGCAATAGTAACTCAAACTAAGATACACCTATAGACCCAGATACTCGAGAGATTAAGACAGGCATTTCATTTGTACTCTAGAGTTCAAAGGCCAACCTGAGCAACATAGCAAGGCAGAACTGTCTCAAAAATAGATAAATGCCTAAAGTATTTTAAACTTCCCATTTAAATTAAAAGGCAGAGGTTGTCAGGTAAGCTTAAAACCCAAATATACTGAA